ATGTCAAAAGTAGCAAAGATTAGAGCAAAAAATACTTTTCAATAGAATGCGCAATATAACTTTATTATTAGCTGCTTTATTATTAGCTGCTTTCTCATTAGCATATTAAAAAAATGAAACATTTGTAAGAATATTTGACCAATGAAAAATAATGTAACATTAACCTTTGTTGAAAACGACTGCAGTGTTATTCTTCATGTATTACACACACACTTGAATTTTAATTAACTTTTTATAAATTCAAAATTTTTAAGAAATTTTAGTATTTTTTATAAATATAACAAACTGCTTTTTAGAAGCTGCTTTTAAAAAATGCATTGCCTAAATAATTTACGTTTTTAAACAATTAAAATTTTTATTAATCGCTCGAAAGTAGATCATCTATCATGAATCATGCAGAAATTTTCAAAAAACTGTCACATTATCACCTGTATTTTGAATGACGTACATATGTTTTTTCTTGTGAAATTATAATTACATATTTAAATGTAAAATAATTTGTTTATATAAAGATAGCACTATATGTATTTTTTATTTGTCCTACATTCCGAATTTCTATAAGTGAAAATACGTGATTATATTTTTTTCATGCTTTCATCATAAGTTTTAAATTAAATGTTAATGATTTATCTCAAGTATTGAAGTTCATTATTGTCTGGCAATAAGTTACATTACTTCTATCCAAAAGAGATTTTATTTATTTGCACAAAATAAAAATGTATAAATATAACACTTTTTTAAAGCACTTTTTAGAACACTAAAAAATTGTAGTGCTAGAAAAGAATTTTTTACTTTACACGCAACGTGTTGCACGGTCTATAGACGATCTATAGCTAAGATCACACACATCGCGTTTAAAATCGATTACCAGTGAAAGAAGAAAAAATGAACGTACTTAGTCTCTGGAGTGAGCAGGTACTTATCTACCAGCTTATTATGTCAGTTTTTATTCATGAATACCTCGGAAGTTGTTACAAGAGGAATTGAAAAAAGTCGCACAACAAAGAGGAGCGTAGAACTTTTTAAACCGTTCGCTCTATACGTTGATTGTCCACGTTTTCAAGAGTTTTTATTTTACACACACACTTCTCTGTGAAAAACAGTTAACGTCGCTTCATCATAAAGAGATAGATTGCGTTTGCCATGGAAACTTTAAAATATTTAGAATATCAAGGTGCTCTTTATTCCAAATGTTATAATTTTTTAAGTCCGTTAATAATCATTATTAATTATAATATCTTAAAACTTGGATAAAATAGTAACAAACTAATACCTACGTTTTTTTTTTAAATCTATTGTTTTAAAATATTGCGCAAACTTAATCTTAGCTTATATGAGATAAAGTATTTAAAAAATGTCTTTTTATCAAATTGATCATGATTATATTCAGGATTATGTTAGACAAATTAAATAATATGAGTTAATAACAATAATAATTTTTATTTAGGAATTTCTGGCGTAACTAATTGCAATTTTTGTAACAAATAGATTTCGAATGGGCAGTAAAATTAAATCGATATTGTCTAGAAGTAGCAGGGCTTTGGCCTAAATCTGATTTAACTGCATGGAATAAAGTTATGTGTAATTTACGTACGCTTCTGGTTTTCTTTAGTATATTTTTTGGTCTTGTAATACCTACCACACATTCACTGATAAAAGTTAAAGGAGACATTATGTTAATGATAGACAATCTACAGTTTACTTTACCAATCATTGCTACTTTGCTAAAAATTACAATACTTTGGTGGAAAAAAGAAGGTAGATATAACTACAAATTTAAATGTAAAATAATTGCTTTATATAAAGATAACTATAAAGATATAAAGATAATACTATATTTAAGTTTTAATTGTCCTACATTTTGAATTTTTTAAAGTAAACTTTGAAAGTTAGTTATTTATATTTTATAGAAGGCACAAATAATACCGTTTTCATAAAATACGAGGGTCGGTAATATAAACAATTTTTTTTCTCAGAAAATTTAATTCCTACAAACTATGGTTATTAACAAACATTTAGTTATTTTTTTACAAAGTTACCGTTAAGAAAAGTGTTTGCGAAACTCTCAAGAGTCGCAACAAGGAATTTGACCGGTCTGGAATACAGCGTTTAATTCAAAGATGGCAAAAGTACGTACAAAATGATAGTGACTTTGTGAGAAAAAAACTGAATATTTGTTAACGACTGAAGATTATATTATGTAAAAATCATAATTGTAGGAATTTAATTTTCTGAGAAAAAGAATTGAATGCATTACTTTCGTACCTCATACTTGCATATTATAATCGTATATTTAGTTAGTTTATTATATTTATATACAGGGTGTCCGTAAAGGTCGGGACTAAATTTATATAATGCCTTAATGATATTTAGTGAAAAAAATTTATGTGAACCTAGAACCTTAGAATCGGTGAAGTGTATTTAATCTGAATAACTACCGAACAATACTGCTCGTCAAACTTTGAACGCATATAATTTTTTAATAAAGCGTTTTCGGACATAAGTTTATACAAACCTTTTTTATCTACTGGATCCTAACACACTCTATAAGCTTAGTCCCAACTTTTACGGACACTCCTATATATAAAATTCAATATTCTAAATATAGTATCTATTATATATATATTTTGCGACCACTACATCAAAATTTTATATAAAAATTTAAATCTTTTTATAATCTAGATTAATTTTTTATGAGTAATATTTTATAAATTTTTATTTTAAATTATATTTGTTATTAAGTTTTTAATAAAATGTTAAGGTTTTTATATCATTGTATCATACAAATTATATTACAAGACTAAATTTTTATCATCCGTAATACATTTTTCTATTTTTTTGAAGCTCTCATATCTATAATAGATATGATCGCGAACGATTGGAGAACACCGAAAACTTCATGGGAGAAAATGAGGATGATTACACGAGCACAGACTGCTCGTACAATTACTAAGTGTGCATATTGCCTAATGACAATCAATTTCTTTGTTTTGTTAGTTTTGCCTGCTTGTAATCTTTCAGTGAGATATGTGACAAATATTACTGATCCAGGCAGACTATTACCAGTACAATCGCGTTATACCTATGATATAACTAAAAGTCCACATTATGAGTTAACATTTATTTCTCAAAGTATATGTTTGTTTTTATGCATGATACATTACATAGGTATAGATAGTTTTTTTAGTTTCTTGGTACTTCATATCTGTGGTCAATTGGAAATATTAAGAAATCGCATTCTACATTTGGAAATAATGAATTATGCTTACAATTTGAAAATGTGTGTGATGGATCATACGCGACTACTCAGGTATCGCATTTCTAATCTTATATTTCATAAATATATTTTGATCTTATATAAGTATAGACATAAAAATTCTACATTAGAAAATTAAAAAAAAATTTTTACATATAAATATTAATATATCATTTATTTCTTTATAGAAGTATCGTTCTCATAGAACATACATTTAATATCATGATGCTTGCATTATTTTTATACTTTGCTATTCTCTTTTCCTTTTATGGATTTCTTATTTTGGATGTAAGTTTATAAAAGTTTTTAATATACAACTTAATAATTTGTTTACAGTGCTTTGTGAGTCATATAATTTCGAAACATATAAAGATAATATATATTATTTACACGAATCGAGTGTCCTATATTATTATTTGATTCGTTGACTTTGAATTAATTTAATCTAAAAATTTAATCTAAAATATGTGATTTCACGGCAAGATATTGAAGACATACATCTAAAAAATAAAAGTTTTTCTTAAGAAAATATAAGATACGACTTAAAATTAGTTAAAGGACTTGATAATGAAAATAGTAACTATAAAATACTCTACATACATTGATGTGGACATCTCTATGGCTACTTCAACTGTGAAATGGTTATTAATTATATTCCATATTTTTGTATTTCATAATGGAACGACTAGCTTTCGGAGGGTGGAAATGACTTGTCGATTTTTCGAGCGGCATATCTCATAAGTATTATAATCAATTTCGTTTGTCACTCGTGCCTTTATTGCGCTATCGGTGAAATTTTATTATTGCAAGTAAATTTGAAACTCCTTAATTCTTATAGTAATTTTTTCGACTTTTTATACAATTAGTATTTTAACTTTCCAAAAAATGATGCAGTTATACAAATTTACACTTCTATTAAATAAAATTTACGTAAATAAATGCTATATAAAACTTTATGAATATATCAGTTAAAATTTATTATTTACATATATTATTGTTAAAATATACATTATTATTATTATTATTATTTTATATCTAAATATATATGTAGTTGTGTGTGTGTGCGTGTGTGTGTGTGTGTGTGTGTGTGTGTGTGTGTGTGTGTGTGTGTGTGTGTGTGTGTGTGTGTGTGTGTGTGTGTGTGTGTGTGTGTGTGT